GGAGCTGCAGCTCAGTTGCAGCTCATTCCTTTTGAAAAGACTGCTCTGTATTTGACAGAGTGAATTTGAAGTCTAGGAATAGATAGTTATTAAGATTACCCTAGTCCCACCTCACCCTTGGAGGAAATCCAAAGCGATTGAGAAGGATGAGCAATCGCACAGATGACTCGAAATTCATAAGTACCGGTACTGTTGACGCTACGTCTGTCTAGCGCACGTCCCGTGCGTTGGAATTTCAAATTTCAAATTGGAGAAAATCTCACATAATATATCACAGTAGCAATCACCATCGTCTATGATGATTCGTCCGTTACGTCGGTCACTCGTAAACGAGAGAAGGTCTCCATACTCTAGCGGTGGCTCACCGTATAGTGCATGGCGATTGCTTCAACAAAGTTGTCTTAAGTGATCATTTGTTGTAGGTACCTTGAAATTTGGATTGCAGATCAGTAGCAGCACCCCCCAAAATCATCTTCAATGCATTCTTATCAACTCTGCGACCATAATCTAGATCTATATCTCTGCTCCATTTCCATTTCTCTTCCCCTTGCGGACCTTTTTCATTATCTTCCTTCTGCTTCCTTGCGCGGTGCTGTAACATAAGACTTGGGCCGCGTGCTTCGTTGTGAGCTGCATTTATGCAGTCTATTTCTCTTCGAATTTCCGGGTGTATCCCCTCTTCAATCGGCTCTGTTGGGGGCTTTTGGTTTTTGAATCCTCGACTGTTTATGCTTTGGCCAGACTTGATACTACTGAGAAAATCATTCTTGCCTGGTACCAACATCCACTCTTCGCGTTTCTCTTTGGCAAAGTCTGTATCCTCTCCGTTCGAAATTTCTGGCTGAGTGCTTTGAATCGTTGACCGTCGGCTACTGGAACCAACTGGCAGAGGTCCCTCGTCATCGTCACTGGCAGTGGGATTGGTAGTGTTGCCGTACTGAGGACGCTGGGGCCCAACAAGTCGTCGCTTGGGCTTTTCACGTGGCCGTCGACATTCATCCATAAATGCGTGAAGCTTGAGTTTCACTGTCTCATCTATGTCTTCCGGAAGGTTATATCCCGTAGTCACTTCACCTCGGCTATTGCCATCATCGGACTCATTTTCTTCCATTTCCGACTTCTCCAGACCACACTGCAGAAAAATTGATGTAAGCCTAGCCTTTAGGCTATCGTTCGGCAATCCATCAATGCAGAGACACTCTCCTTCTAAAATGGACCTGCAAAGAACTATCAGCTGTTGGCCCAAGTTGGAATCCGAATTTTTGAATTCTTCTAACAAAGCAGCCGTAGCGGTCTTGACAGGCTGTAGAGCATCCAAGGTCTTCTCTTTTGATGACTCCACTGAGATTGCGTTCGTAGACTTGAGTTCCAGTGCTGCTCTTTTGCTTTCATAATCTTCAATGGAAGACATTGTGACTCCAGAATCATCAAGTACTGTACGCATCACCCTGAGGAGTATCATCTCATCAGCCCCATTCTGTTTGTTCGGATTTCTAAAGATCCAATGATCGTTCGTCGTTTGCCGCTGTACTCCAAACATCTGCAATGATTCAAAAACCTGCTCAAGTCTTTCAGCAGCAGCGGTGTCGGTCATTTGCCTAAGGTCGAAGGCAGCACCTCCGGCAAGTCGAATAAGAATAATTGGGAGCTCGCCACTAAAAACAGGTCGATCCTCCAATAGAGAACACAAGGTTTGGGATATGGCATCGTCTCCCTCACTTGAGATGCCAGAGTCGGTCTTTCTTCTTTCCCCAACCGTGACACTCTCAGGTACACTTTTATTGCGATGGCGATGCTTCCGACGGCTTTTACGACTATTATCATCTCGCTGTTTTCTGTCCTTGTGCCTCTTTCGTCTATCACGTCTCTTGTCTTCCTTGTGGCGTCTATTTCGTTTCTGGCTGCCTTTGTGTTCACCATGCTTCCGACTTTTTCGTCTTGATACGCTATTGTGTTCGCTGTTTTCTTCGTCGTCGCTCATGAAGTAATCTTCCATTCAAGCTTCGCTTCTGCCCGTTAGTATGGGGTGCCACGGTATGCTATCGTCATGCTTTTGCATTCATTCAGTTGAAATTTGCCGTAGGTTATGCGCATAGCGTGCGATTTCTTGAACGTTGGAGCAAACAAATTGGGCACATATCGGATAAATGGGGTTTGCAAATCAGCTCACGACTACCAGCTTCTACGTACGTGTACCTGGTACATGTCGTCAGCTGGAACCAAATCCGGGCTATTTTCTTTCAAAAAGCAAATCAAAATATATGAGGGGAGAGTTTCAGGGGATATGAGAGACTCGCGAAACACCAGTGCTTAAAATAATAATCAGGAAGATCCAGTTCTACCGGTAGATTGGATGGTCCTGGATCATGAAATATAAAGAATAAGCAAACTAAAAACATTCTATACCAGCCACTTGCAATCTGATACGCAAACCTGCTTTTCCAGAATGGACGCAACCTAACCAAACCACCTCAGCTCCAGTTGAACAAGTTCTGGCCTTCCTAGAGAATGTGACAGTATATTGGCAAACCGGAATGACTAGCGTTACATGGTGATGGAGATGTATAATAGTAGAACGTATTGTTCAAGCTTCTAGCTTGATTCTCTATTGACTATAATTTTTGTCTTCAACAGTAGTATCCAGTTTGAGTGTCGTCTTGTCATTGTTCAAGTCAAGTCACTGTCTCCGCATTGGCAGAATCAAGCCCTCATTTCTATTCTATTCTCTCGTCAGAATTTTTTTTCACAAAGAACTCTGCAAGCGTCTTTCTGTACGATAGTAGACAGCTTCGTTCAAAACACTGGCCTGGAGAAGAAAAAAATTGGCCACAACGGAGCCCAGCCGGGATTCTGCGTTTGTTGTCGTTTTTGAATCTTTCCCAACAAATGTTGATTATTGTGTCTTCGAACTTTGCATACACATGTGTATATTTGCAATGAAACTGAGCCTTGCGTTCGCCCTTTACGTTTCTACCCAAACAACAAGCCGATTGATTTTTCAGGTCCAGATAATCAGCAAATTGCACAGGTTCGTTGTCGCAAGCCTCACAGAAGTGTATACTTCACTAGAATCGCAGCGATAATCTCAACTAGTAGATTTGACTGCTCTCTCATGCCTTGTTTGACCTTTCCAGGATGATGTCGATTCAATCACAAGATGATGCAATCAAGTTGTTAAAACCACTTTCCAACAAGCGCGAAGTTGGGGGGTGGTTGCACTTCTATCGATCCGTAGGACCTCTCGATCGATTGCATGTCTCTCACAACAAAAACCCTGACTCCGAATCCACAATGCTGGCGTATTGTCGCAGCTCGCGTGAAGCTGATGATTCATTCTCCGCTTGTTGTGCTGCTTGTTGCACTGGAGTCTGCCGTTCTCGCTTCAGGCGCCTGTCATGTCCTCATTTTTATCTCACTAGGTCGCAACTGTTGTGGTGCTGCTTGTTTGTTTTGCGGTTCCTTGGCTTTTGTCTGCATGCTTGAAGTTGATGTGATGTCGGTGCAAAACAATCAGACCAGTGCAGCTCACGACAAAAGAGCTAGCGACATATCCGGGTTCGAAGTGCTTTATTTTTGATTTTCAAAAACTAATGGTCTGCCCTCCGTCATATTCATATCTCACGATATTTCATGAGGAAAGCTGACGACACGCACGTAGAGGTGGTACGAAAAATACGGCGGTTTTCAAAAATACCCAACCCCATTTATGAAATATGAGCCCAAATTGGGCACATATCGGATAAATGGGGTTTGCAAATCAGCTCACGACTACCAGCTTCTACGTACGTGTACCTGGTACATGTCGTCAGCTGGAACCAAATCCGGGCTATTTTCTTTCAAAAAGCAAATCAAAATATATGAGGGGAGAGTTTCAGGGGATATGAGAGACTCGCGAAACACCAGTGCTTAAAATAATAATCAGGAAGATCCAGTTCTACCGGTAGATTGGATGGTCCTGGATCATGAAATATAAAGAATAAGCAAACTAAAAACATTCTATACCAGCCACTTGCAATCTGATACGCAAACCTGCTTTTCCAGAATGGACGCAACCTAACCAAACCACCTCAGCTCCAGTTGAACAAGTTCTGGCCTTCCTAGAGAATGTGACAGTATATTGGCAAACCGGAATGACTAGCGTTACATGGTGATGGAGATGTATAATAGTAGAACGTATTGTTCAAGCTTCTAGCTTGATTCTCTATTGACTATAATTTTTGTCTTCAACAGTAGTATCCAGTTTGAGTGTCGTCTTGTCATTGTTCAAGTCAAGTCACTGTCTCCGCATTGGCAGAATCAAGCCCTCATTTCTATTCTATTCTCTCGTCAGAATTTTTTTTCACAAAGAACTCTGCAAGCGTCTTTCTGTACGATAGTAGACAGCTTCGTTCAAAACACTGGCCTGGAGAAGAAAAAAATTGGCCACAACGGAGCCCAGCCGGGATTCTGCGTTTGTTGTCGTTTTTGAATCTTTCCCAACAAATGTTGATTATTGTGTCTTCGAACTTTGCATACACATGTGTATATTTGCAATGAAACTGAGCCTTGCGTTCGCCCTTTACGTTTCTACCCAAACAACAAGCCGATTGATTTTTCAGGTCCAGATAATCAGCAAATTGCACAGGTTCGTTGTCGCAAGCCTCACAGAAGTGTATACTTCACTAGAATCGCAGCGATAATCTCAACTAGTAGATTTGACTGCTCTCTCATGCCTTGTTTGACCTTTCCAGGATGATGTCGATTCAATCACAAGATGATGCAATCAAGTTGTTAAAACCACTTTCCAACAAGCGCGAAGTTGGGGGGTGGTTGCACTTCTATCGATCCGTAGGACCTCTCGATCGATTGCATGTCTCTCACAACAAAAACCCTGACTCCGAATCCACAATGCTGGCGTATTGTCGCAGCTCGCGTGAAGCTGATGATTCATTCTCCGCTTGTTGTGCTGCTTGTTGCACTGGAGTCTGCCGTTCTCGCTTCAGGCGCCTGTCATGTCCTCATTTTTATCTCACTAGGTCGCAACTGTTGTGGTGCTGCTTGTTTGTTTTGCGGTTCCTTGGCTTTTGTCTGCATGCTTGAAGTTGATGTGATGTCGGTGCAAAACAATCAGACCAGTGCAGCTCACGACAAAAGAGCTAGCGACATATCCGGGTTCGAAGTGCTTTATTTTTGATTTTCAAAAACTAATGGTCTGCCCTCCGTCATATTCATATCTCACGATATTTCATGAGGAAAGCTGACGACACGCACGTAGAGGTGGTACGAAAAATACGGCGGTTTTCAAAAATACCCAACCCCATTTATGAAATATGAGCCCAAATTGGGCACATATCGGATAAATGGGGTTTGCAAATCAGCTCACGACTACCAGCTTCTACGTACGTGTACCTGGTACATGTCGTCAGCTGGAACCAAATCCGGGCTATTTTCTTTCAAAAAGCAAATCAAAATATATGAGGGGAGAGTTTCAGGGGATATGAGAGACTCGCGAAACACCAGTGCTTAAAATAATAATCAGGAAGATCCAGTTCTACCGGTAGATTGGATGGTCCTGGATCATGAAATATAAAGAATAAGCAAACTAAAAACATTCTATACCAGCCACTTGCAATCTGATACGCAAACCTGCTTTTCCAGAATGGACGCAACCTAACCAAACCACCTCAGCTCCAGTTGAACAAGTTCTGGCCTTCCTAGAGAATGTGACAGTATATTGGCAAACCGGAATGACTAGCGTTACATGGTGATGGAGATGTATAATAGTAGAACGTATTGTTCAAGCTTCTAGCTTGATTCTCTATTGACTATAATTTTTGTCTTCAACAGTAGTATCCAGTTTGAGTGTCGTCTTGTCATTGTTCAAGTCAAGTCACTGTCTCCGCATTGGCAGAATCAAGCCCTCATTTCTATTCTATTCTCTCGTCAGAATTTTTTTTCACAAAGAACTCTGCAAGCGTCTTTCTGTACGATAGTAGACAGCTTCGTTCAAAACACTGGCCTGGAGAAGAAAAAAATTGGCCACAACGGAGCCCAGCCGGGATTCTGCGTTTGTTGTCGTTTTTGAATCTTTCCCAACAAATGTTGATTATTGTGTCTTCGAACTTTGCATACACATGTGTATATTTGCAATGAAACTGAGCCTTGCGTTCGCCCTTTACGTTTCTACCCAAACAACAAGCCGATTGATTTTTCAGGTCCAGATAATCAGCAAATTGCACAGGTTCGTTGTCGCAAGCCTCACAGAAGTGTATACTTCACTAGAATCGCAGCGATAATCTCAACTAGTAGATTTGACTGCTCTCTCATGCCTTGTTTGACCTTTCCAGGATGATGTCGATTCAATCACAAGATGATGCAATCAAGTTGTTAAAACCACTTTCCAACAAGCGCGAAGTTGGGGGGTGGTTGCACTTCTATCGATCCGTAGGACCTCTCGATCGATTGCATGTCTCTCACAACAAAAACCCTGACTCCGAATCCACAATGCTGGCGTATTGTCGCAGCTCGCGTGAAGCTGATGATTCATTCTCCGCTTGTTGTGCTGCTTGTTGCACTGGAGTCTGCCGTTCTCGCTTCAGGCGCCTGTCATGTCCTCATTTTTATCTCACTAGGTCGCAACTGTTGTGGTGCTGCTTGTTTGTTTTGCGGTTCCTTGGCTTTTGTCTGCATGCTTGAAGTTGATGTGATGTCGGTGCAAAACAATCAGACCAGTGCAGCTCACGACAAAAGAGCTAGCGACATATCCGGGTTCGAAGTGCTTTATTTTTGATTTTCAAAAACTAATGGTCTGCCCTCCGTCATATTCATATCTCACGATATTTCATGAGGAAAGCTGACGACACGCACGTAGAGGTGGTACGAAAAATACGGCGGTTTTCAAAAATACCCAACCCCATTTATGAAATATGAGCCCAAATTGGGCACATATCGGATAAATGGGGTTTGCAAATCAGCTCACGACTACCAGCTTCTACGTACGTGTACCTGGTACATGTC